TCCCTCCAACCCCTGAACCGGCAACTGATGAGGATGGTGTTCCATCTCATGATGAAGACCAGCCACCACAAGTCGAAGCTGAACCTAACAGAGAGCAAGAGGTGGAGCCTAAACCATTTTATCCATTCGAGCAAATAATGATTAACAAGTCAATCTATTCGGGTATTCTTGATCGGTTTGATAACCTTGATCATGAGATAGGCCGAATTAAGGCTCAGCTTGGGATGCCTGAAGACTCGGAGTGATTTAGTGTTCTATTTTTTTTTAATTAGGAAGTTTAAATTTTTGGTTTTTAAATTTCAATTTCGATTGGGTTGTAATCGCTTTAATTTCTGAACAATTTTATTGCTTTAATCTGTTGAACAATTTGGTTTCTTTTGGAATTTGAAGTTTAATTGCTGATATATTGTGTTTGAATGGTTTGAAAATTTCTGGTTTGGTTGGTTGGTGGTGTGATGTTCTGTTTTGAACATTGATATGTGGTTCTTTGATATTTGGTTGGCATATTTGATAATGATTTTGGACTCTGAATTGTGATAATGAATTGTATCTTATGATTTTGGCTAACCAATTAATATTTTTGTTGCTGATTTGATGCTTATGGCTTGGATAGTATGATTCAAGTTCACAAAGTTTTTTTTTTTGGCTGACCAATACCTCTGTTATGTTAAATCAGTTTTGTGGTATTGTTCTGAGTAACTAAGGAGTATGAATGAAGCTTATACTTGTGTATTCTGGACATACAAATATTGGTTTGTTTTTGATGATGTCCAAAGGGGGAGAAAGGTTTTGTGAGTTTGTTTTCCAGGTTTTAAAGTGTTGTGTAATAAGGCAAAACAAAATGGACAAAATGGCTTAGCTTAGCTTGGTTTGTCATCATCAAAAGGGGGGAGATTGTTGGGATTCATGGTGGTGAATCAACTTACCTCTGGAGATTAAAGGTTCTCATGATAACAACTGTGGAACAAAGCTGACCAAGGACATCAACAACTTAGAAGTCAAAAACAAAGTCAAAGAAAAATGTTATGTAATAGGAGTAACTTATAAATTATTTTGTTGAGCTTATTTTTTGTGTGTGTATGCTTTGTGTATGAGCTAATCTTTGTCTAACCTGATTAGGAGTGTGTATGACGATGAGTTTAAAAGTTTAAAAAGTTATTTTGAGACTTAAAATAGAGTTTTGAAAACTAACTCAAAATAATCGATTATCATTAAATATAATTGATTATTCCAGTAACAGTTAAAAAGGATACCTTGCTACAATAATCAATTATTTGTGAAATAATCAATTATCCCAGAAATCACTCTCTGGAATAATCAATTATTCTGCAAAATAATCGATTAAATTGTTCTTGGTTGATTTCCAGAAATCATGAAGAACAAAATAATCAATTATTCTTTAAAATAATCGATTATCTGGTTCTGAAAAACTTATAAATAGTTTGAACATTTTGAAACTTCAGAACAAGATAGAATTGAGAATCAAAAATAGAAAAACGTGTTTGTGAAATCTTTGTGATATTCTTAGAGAGTTTTCTTTATGAAACCAAGAAGAAAAATGTTTTTGAAATGCTTTGAGAAAAGATCATCACGTTCTTGAAAAAGAGACAGATTAAGATTTGCTTCTGAATTCCAGGTGAATTCGTTCCTTAATTCTTTGTGAATATTTGTAAAATCTTGAGTAGGTTTCTCAAGTGGTAAGGAATTCATGTAGTGGGTTTCTATAAGGGGTGCTTTCTTGGGGTCAAGAAAGTAGTTATCTTGAATGTAGGAGTATATGCATGTGTGGTATGCTTGTAAAAATTTTTCATTAAGATTGTGGAACAAATCTTGATCAGGTTATGATTGAGGACTGGATGTAGGTCACATGTGGAGTGGCTGAACCAGGATAAAAGACTTGTACAATCTTCTCTTACCCTTATCTTTTACTTTGTGTAATATCTTGGTTGTATGTAAAAGAGATCATTCTTGATTAACATGTTTGTATGAGCAATATTGATCTGAACGGAATCAAAGTATTGCATATTGATTGTACGTAACTTTGAATCTCATTAACGATTAATCAAAAAAGCATATAGGATTCATTTTTCATTAACAAGTCTTTAAGAAACTTCTTTGAAAATTCATAATTAGAAAAGTTTGAATTGAAATAAAGATCCTAAAACTCTGATAATTTTTTAAAGTGTCATAGAATCCAATTCATCCTCCCTCTTAGATTGAGTCATTCTTTTCTAACACTAATAACAGATGGTTATCTAGTTGATGTTTGTATTAGCAAGTGACTAAGTTTGAACAGTCGTTGGTTGTGTTTTTAGTAGAAAATCCCACAAGGTTGTATGGAGACTAAATATATCCTAATTGTGGTGAATCAATATAAATCATGTTCCATTCTTCTTTTTTTTCCTTATCTTTTTACTTGCTTATTTAACATATTGTATTCGTTGCTATAATACTGCATAATCTGAAACAAAAACAAGTAAACTTAAAAACTGTTTTCAGAAAAATACACTCTGTACCAACACTCAAAAAACTTGTCTTCTACATAATAGATTCAAAAAGAAATAATTTTTATAAGGAAAATTTTCAACCCCGTTCCTGTATTCTAACCATTACAAACTTTATGTATTAGAGTATAAAGCGATTTGGTTAAAAGCTTTCTAGTACACATTAGCTATTGGTTTTACCAAAATATTGGATGTTCATTTTTGTAAAAGACTTTGTCTATTTTTATTAGAAGAAGATTAGCAACACTTTCTATAACACACTAATTAAGTTTTTTGAATATGTTCATTCTTCAAATCCTATTCATAAAGTATCCTTTGAATATGTTCATTGTGAGAGAGAAAATTAAAAAAAAAATCCATTCCAAATCCTTATTTAATGTTTGAGAGACTTTATCACGTGTCTTTGAGTCTTGTTTTGAAGAAGAAAATGAGAAAGTCAATTGTCATGTCTCCACCAAAAAGGTTTTTTTTATATGACTCTTGATTCTTCTTTTTTTAACATTCCTTTTTTTGTTCTATTTTTTGTACTTTGTTTTGGTATACTGATTTGTTTTTAATTTGATGTTGTACTTTGACAATAGAAATCTTATTTTTCATTAAATGTTAAAATGTGAAAAATGTTAATGCATATCAAGAAGAACTTTTGTTAAGGTTTAAACTTGTATAAGGATATATTCAAGGCATGAAATCTTTAAAATGGTCTTATAGGAAAACAACTTTTGGACTAAGTTTTTTTGGATGTTTAGAAAACTTTGTTGAATCCTACCTAAATATGATTTTTTAATAATGACAAATTCTTAATTTCAAATTATAGATAAAAAGAATTCCCATTTTTGTGATAATAAGTTTGTTCAAGTGATTTAATAGGATTAAGACTGATTAAAAGGTTACATAAGTGAATGATTCCTTGAATAATGGAAATGCTTCATAAGACATCCTTATGACAAAGTAAAAGAAGATTTGGTTTTAATGATTGTTAATTAAAATAAAGACAATATTTGTCCCAAGAAAAAAAACTGAGTATCCTAAGTTGTTGATCATAAAGCTTCAAGTAAGACATTTTTTTCTCAAGAGAAATGTCTTGAAAACCTGGTTCATAAGACTTCTACTTTAAGTTTCCTATAAGAAACCTTTAATTAAAATAATGCTCTCAAAACACTTGTATTAAAAACTTAGTTTAAAAGGCCTAAAGTGAAGATTTACATAGAAGGCACCTCAATTGTAAAAGTTAACAGAAACAAAAAATAAAGTACAATGATATCAGCATCAAGCTTGAAAAATAAACAAGCTACAATGGATCTATTATTGGGTGCCTTTAAAGGGAAGACAACGGTGTCATTTTGAGGAAAGCAAGATTAAAGAGAAAAAGAAATTACTCAAGCACCACAAGCTACATTCCTTGCTTGATCCTTTTAATTCTTTATAGACTTTTACTTTAACTTTGTATATCTAGTTTGTAATAGGAAGGAAGTGTGAAACCATCCTTAATGGAAGCTCTATTTTATGAGAGTTACCTATGATCTTTGCAATCAACAAGAACACACAAAACCCATTCTTGTAAACATTTTCCCTACTTAGAACAGAGGGTGTAGTGGTATAAAAAGGTAAAAGGAAATCACAGCAGGTGTTGTGTAGTCTCATAGTAGGAGGCTGTAAGGCTATTTTCTCAACAAGTGGTTGAGTGAAAATCTCAACAAGTGGTTAAGAGTTTGCTACTAACAACAGATGGTTATCTATTATTGTTTGTATTATCAAGTGACTAAGTTTGAACAGTCGTTGGTTGTGTTTTTAGTAGAAAATCCCACAAGGTTGTGTGGAGACTAAAAATATCCTAATTGTGGTGAACTAATATAAATCATGTTCCATTTTTTTTTTTTTTGCTTATCTCTTTACTTGCTGATTTAACATATTGTATTCGTTGTTATAATACTGCATAATTTGAAACATAAACAAGTAAACTTAGAAACTGTTTTCAGAAAAATAAACTCAATACCAACACTCAGAAAACTTGTCTTCTACGTAATAGATTCAAAAAGAAATAATTTTTATAAGGAAAATTTTCAACCCCGTTCTTGTATTCTAACCACTACAAACTTTATTAGAGTATAAAGCGATTTAGTGCAAAGCTTTCTAGTACACATTGGCTATTGGTTTTACCAAAATATTGGATGTTCATTTTTGTAAAAGACTTTGTCTATTTTTATTAGAAGAAGATTAGCAACACTTTTTATAACACACTAATTTTTATTGGTTAAAATTTATTGAAAATTATAAAATTAGAAGTGAAAGTTACTAAATAGGACATGAGACCACCAAAAGTTATATTTTTCAATAAATTTTAACCAAAGACTTAGTTATAATAAACTTTTTAAGTTTAAAAACCAAATTAAAAATTCCTAAATATTTTATCGACATAGTAAAGTATTAAACCTGTTTTTAATTATTCGTCACACGATTATCCAAGGAATCTCGAACCCATAACACACAGTAGCGTGAAAGCAGAGAAGCAGGAAATCATTATCCGGCGCAACAGTCACGGAAAAGATCTCTCACTCTACTCTTGCCACGTGTCACAACTGCAAGCGTCCCATCTCTTTCTCCACCCAAACCTCGAACTCAACAACCTAGTGAACCAAATTTTTATTCTCATCATCAATTATTAATTAATCACACACTGTGCATGGTTGTTCCCTTGGGATAGCAATCGGAAGAAATGGACCATCATGCGGACGCACATCGCACGGACTTGATGACCATCACGCGGTTCGTGCTGAACGAGCAATCCAAGCACCCTGAATCGCGCGGCGATTTCACCATCTTGCTCAATCACATTGTCTTCGGTTGCAAGTTCGTTTGTTCTTCCGTTAACAAGGTGCCTTTTCCCCCCTCTCTCGACCACGAATGTTACCGTTACCGCCGAATCAACGTCACGAAATAGTGTAACGGTTTTGCAGGCTGGGCTTGCCAAGCTTATTGGACTCGCTGGAGAGACCAACGTTCAGGCAAGCGCTTCTTTCGTAGATAATATAATAAATATGTGTGTGCTTTGTTGCATAGGTTATTCTTATTCTATAGTTTCTTTTGGTAGAGAAAAGTTTAGGTGAATTGATTCTCGTGACTCATCAAGGACATGACTGACCTCAAAGTTCTATGACTTTCTCACATCGATAGCGAGAATCAAACTCACTTTCTTTTGAAATATATATGAGTATGTTCCTTATCAATTAGATCGATCATTGTTGGCATAGGATATTCCATGGTTGAAAGCTAATGACTTATTTGTCGAGATATTCAGACTCATTTAATTAGGTATGTGTGATTTTTATTTATTTGTTTGTTTATATTGAGTTCTGTTTGTTTGGAATGAAGGGTGAAGAGCAGAAGAAGCTGGATGTTCTTTCCAATGAGGTTTTCATGAAGGCTCTCAAAAGCAGTGGCCGAACTGTAAGTGAACAAGATTTGATTGGATAAAATTTTTCATAAATACTTATAGAATTATAAGAAAACAAGGAAGAAAAATGAAAAAAAAAAATTGTTATTTAAGTTAAAATTTGCTAACACGTTCGATAAAATAGACTTTTGAGTGACACTGATTTTGTGAAATTGCGCGAACCCCATATTTTTGTTAATGTTTACGATTATTCCTTATAAGAGAAAAGTAACATTTTTTTGAGTTAAAATTAGTTAATGCGTGAGATGGTAAGTTTTTGAGTGACACTATGATGTTTTGCGATATCGTATTCAATGACCTCTTATAGGGGATTTATTGTAATGTTTTTCAAATAATCTAAGAGAGTCAATTTAATGTTGAGGAGAGCGTTTGTTTAGAAATAGAAAAAGACAACGAATTTAATGTTTCACAAAATCTTAGCAAATGTCAGTGCAATTTTACTCTTAAGTATTTTTAGGAAAAAAAATGATTTTAGCTTCTAAAAAAAACTGATTTTAATTTATACATAAATTAATGTTAACTCTTAGGAGAAGCTTTATTTTACCAATTTCTTTTCTTCGAAGTGTTTATGGAAAAACTTGTAAAGGGTGATGTGATTTTTTATTTATTTAACTGTTTATTATTTATTTTGGAACTGATGGTGTTATCTTTGAACAGTGCGTCTTGGTTTCTGAAGAAGATGAAGAAGCGACAATAGTGGAGCCTTCGTTGCGTGGAAAGTTGTTCATTCTCTTTGTTGCCTAGTACTGTTAATTAATATTCTGTGTACCAGGTTTTAAATTAAAGTTGCAACTCTCACATGTTAGGCAATTTACAATCACGTGGTTGCAACATGTGATAGTGTATGCAATTTAAAATCTCATAGGAAATGTGTTTGCTCTGATTTGTTGATTCTGATTATTTTGTGTGGTTTCTTTGTGTTTTAATTACTGGGCAGGTACTGTGTTGTTTTTGACCCCTTGGATGGTTCCTCTAACATTGATTGTGGGGTTTCCATTGGCACAGTACGATCCCTCTTACATCTTGCTTGCAATTATTATTTTTAGAGCAAAGTTTAGATGCAATTTCATAAATGTTTTTGTTTTTGGTGTTAGTGTTATTCTCTGCTTAAAATTAGTTTCAATTCAGTGATATATTTGCTTAATGCAAATTTTTATTTTACATATTCCCATTAAAAATCAATACCAAAATCATCTTAGGAACTACATAGAAGTATTGTCCTCCACCACCACCACAACTACAATATCAATAATAATAATAATAATAATAAAATAATATGCTTTCCATGGAAATTCTCTGCTGCGTGAGTTACGTATAGAAGGATTAATAATCCAGACTAACTGGATGTTCCGTGTGTGTGCCAATTGAGTATGTTGTAGATTTTTGGGATTTATGCGTTGAAAGATGTCCATGAACCAAGCATAGAAGATGTCCTGCTTCCTGGGAAGAACATGGTGGCTGCTGGCTATTGTATGTATGGAAGCTCTTGCACGGTATAATAAACTCATCATTTTTTATTGCTTAAATTTTAGATATGTTCGGTGCACCTGTTTTCTGCTTTTTCTTCATTTTCTGTTGAATACTTTATTCATCTTTTCTACAAAAATTTTGTATATTGGCATGAATTTTTGTTTTCACTCTTTTTGGCTGAGAAAACTATTTCATTTTTGGTATATCTGATGACTGAGGCTTTCCTTTGCCTTCATTCTAAACTTGCAATGTTTAATTACTAAATTACAATTTGAAATCTAATGGTTTTGCAGCTTGTGTTAAGCACTGGAGCTGGTGTTAATGGTTTCACCCTTGACCCATCTCTTGGTGAGTTCATCCTAACTCACCCTGACATCAAGGTATTACTCTGCTCACTTATGGGTCACTATTATAGATTATCCTTCTCTCTGGAAATGCTTGCATGGCTGCTCAGCTCTTATGAAAGTCAGCACCTGCTTGATTTTGTATTTTTTTCTAACTGAATCTGATGCAAGTGGCTTTTCTTGGCTTTGAGATATGCCTACGGAAAGGATCTTGGGTTAAAGACTTAGCAATAAAAAAAAATAAAAAAAAATAGGCTGAGGCTTTACATGCCACACAAACTTGCTCAACTTATTTTAATCCTTGTTAAGATGACAGCTCAATAAAAGAGTTAGTCGACATGATCTGTTCTCCTTCAATAATATCTGACATGATTTATTTATTTTCTACTCAGTAATATCTGCAATGATAAAAAGCTGAAAAAACAAAAGATGATTGACATTATCTGTTCTCCTTCTAAAATATCTATGTAGAGGGCAGCATCCATGATTACATGATCTTGTTTAGGATAAGATGGTTATAATTTATAAGTTGAAGGTTCAGAAGAAACATTGTTTGAATGAAGTTTGGTTGTGTAAACATGAATCGCAAGTAACTATGGCCAAATAATTAGCTATCCTTGAATTTTTTTATCAACATACCATCATATATTTGTTGAGTACCGGAGCTCTATTCTCTGTATTGATATTCACCTAATTTTAAGGCAGAGAAAGTGTATTAATTGTTTAGAATATTCCCTTAGTCCCACAATGATTCTAGTTTAAGATTTTAAGAATAACAATATCTCTTTTTGATATAATTTTACTAAAATAGTCATATTTTCTATCTTTACCAAAAAAATATAGATGCATTATTTTTAATTATGATAGTTGAATAATTTATGAAAGGATAAATTAGAAAAAAGGTAATTGATATTACATTGAAAAGTGAAAATATTAGTTATTTTAGAATATTTTTCAAATAGTAAAATTGCAGCCAATATAGGACTGAGGGAATATAAACACACATATATCCACGCCATCTGTAGGTTACTTGTGTCATATGTTTAATCATTTGATGTGTGGTTCTCTTTGCAGATCCCAAAGAAAGGCAAGATTTATTCAGTGAATGAAGGAAATGCCAAAAACTGGGACGGTCCTACTGCAGCGTATGTTTGAATTCAGTAATGTTATAATGTTTTCAAGCATTAAAGTGTAAATTTTGACAACCTTGTAATTTCTTTTTCACTTCTGTTCAGTTACGTTCAAAAATGCAAGTTTCCAGAAGATGGTTCATCGCCAAAGTCTCTAAGATATATCGGAAGGTATCATTTTATTCTCAACCCTAGAAGCAGTCTAATTTGTTCATTTGCCACCCTGAAACTTCTATTTTTAACTTTTCATTTTATAACAATTAATGCAAATAGGGATTTGAATTAGTAGCCAGACCATAAGAGATTATGTATCAATGAAAAACAGGTGCCAAGAGTTGCATTTAAAAATAAATAAATAAAAAGTCAGCTGAAGACTCTCCTTGGTAATGCTTAACTAGTTAGCTCTAAAATGAAGCATGTATATTATCAACTTGGTCTAGACGTGTAGAGTTGAGTTTTTAACTATTAACGGTTTTTTTTTTATTAACACTCGTTGCCATAAAGTCCTAGTTTTGCCAAAATCATCAATTTTCTAGCAGTTGAGTTTTCATTTTCTGGTGGAACATCTTTGCAGCTTCTTGAGTCTGAATTACATATCAATTTACTCTGAAAAGTGAACTTTAGGGTCAGTTGAAACTTGAAATTTACCGGAGCATACATAAAGGATAGTTGATAAAATAGAAGATAAAAAGACGTGATATAATCCTTAGGTGCAATTGTTAAATTGATAATTCAGTTCGTTTGTTAAAAAAATGATAATTCTGGTGTTCTGAAGAATATGATAGATAAATAGTTATTTATGGTTAGAACTACATATTTCTCAATGTCTCATTTATTTGTAAGTAAACAACTATCAGAATTTGTTAATGGCTATTTTAATGAGCTTAACTGAACTTTCTAAGTTTCAACTCTCTTTTGTCTTTCAATTTATGACATTTCTATATATTAACAGCATGGTAGCTGATATTCATCGAACATTGCTTTATGGAGGCATCTTTTTGTACCCTGCTGATAAAAAAAATCCAAATGGAAAACTTCGGTATGTCATGTTCAACCTCTGCATTTATTAATTTATTTTTCTTTTGGCTTTGAGTAACACATCCAAGTTTGATTAAACGTTTTTTTGTCAGAAATTGTTGGCTTAATTTAACTGTTTTTTGTAGTGTCCTGTACGAAGTCTTCCCAATGTCATTCTTGATGGAGCAGGCAGGAGGACAGTCTTTCACAGGCAAAGAACGGGTAAATTTACATCAAGTTTTATTTTCATTCACGGTCACTAAGATTTTTACTTTATCAACCAATTGTCAGCAAGAAGTTAGATATGATTTTTAAAGTAATTATTGAAAAAATTATATTCTATAATTTTATCATACACTAGAGGAAAATGAGGCATTTCATCCCTCGCTAGTATTTTAAGAAAAAATAATAATAAGAAATAGATGATGAAATAAGAAGGTAATTTTATAATAGTAATCAGATATGTGTATTAGTTTAGAGGTAAAAGAGTTTAAAAAATTGTCGATACTAAAACATTGTATACTCTTTATTAATTCTTATAGATTATAGATTAGAAATTACAATTTATAATTGGTGGGTTAAAGTGTAAAAAACCTTTATCTAAGTGCCATTTTAATTAAATTCATTTTAATTTGCCAATTATTGATTTTCTTTTATCACTTTGATATTGGAATTACCCCCAACATGCTCTCTTGCAAAAGGAAATATGGCTGATATAGTTTCGAAAGCATCATTTGGCAATGAATTGATACATGTTGTATGTCATCAGGCACTTGATTTAGTTCCAACGAAGTTGCACGAGCGATCTCCCATAGTCCTTGGTAGCTATGATGATGTTGAGGAAATCAAAGCTCTTTATGCTGCTGAGGGTACAGAAAAATGAACCTTGAAAGCTTCCTTCTTGTATCTTTTGCTACTTGCAAGCACTTGTTATTCAATTTGTTACCGGCAGGGGCTTATGAGAAAACCTGCTATCTGGTCATGTACATGTTAATAAAAGTTGTTAATGTGCCTGCTTTGGTTTTGATTAAATTAATATTTTGCCATGTTACTGAAGAAGGATAAGTACTTACTTTCCCTTGAGATGCATTTCAAAGTTGAACTCCACGAGTGAACGTTGGAAAGAAGAGGAAGAGAGAAAGATTGAATAGAAATTGGCAACCGGCAATTCAAACATAACGAATGGAAAGTTAGAAGAAGGTAAAGAATGAAGATTGAAAAGAAAATGTGAAGAGTAAAAGTTACAATAGCATTTAAAGAATAAAAAAGTAAAAAAAAAATGTATTAATTATAATAAGATAGTCTTTATTGTTAATTTATTATAGATATTTCAAAATACTTGGTAACTTTATTTTTGGCTAAAATCCTAATTTAGTCTCTTATAATATTAAAAAATTTAATTTGATCCTATTTTAATTTTTTGTTTCAATTTAGTCCTAATTTATTTTAAAATACTTCAATGTGGGACTTCCGTCTAAATTTCACAAACGGTGTTAAAGGTCCATGAGAATCACGCCTGTGATTCCAAATAACGACCGTGATTTTCACGCCTAGGAACCAATCAAAGCTTAACAAACTTTACCATAAGCAAAATCTTCATTGGTGATCTTAGTGAAATTTAGGGCATTCAAAAAAGACTCCCGCCGTCGCCTCTTCCTCTCCTCACTCCCCTCTGAAGATGTCAACGCGGCGAATGATGTCGTCGTGGACCACTGCGAAAATGCCTTCGTGACGAACTCCGACGGAGACTTCATTTGGAAGGTATCCATCGACGGATCTAGGTCGATCTTTTCATGATCTTTGATGTACACGAAGGCGACGAAGAATTCTTCAGACGGCGACGCACCTTACAGTTTTGTAGGGCTGAACGGAATCACCTACGTGAGCAAGGGATACCTCTTGGTGGTGTAGTCGAGGACGCGGTGGACGACACGGCGAGAAAGGTGTGGCTGAATGAGGATCTGGTGGGTGCGAACGACTTCGCGGTGAGGAAAGACGGCATGGCGGGGGCAGTTTCACCATGAAGGTGTTGTGGTTGATGAAGAGCAATGATAATTAGGCGGAGGGAGCGGTGTATGACAAGGTGGAGGTGAATGTGCAGCGATTTTCGACGTCGGTGGTGATCGAAGATGATCGAAGAAAAGGATAAGGTTTATGTGTCTAAATGGTGAGCAAATTGGCCTTCTAGAAAGAACAATAATGAAGAAAGCTCTCTCCCACCAAGATTTAACACCAGGCGTGAGAATTATGATTGTGATTTGGAATCATGGTCAATAATGATTATGATTTGGAATTACGGGCGTGATTCTCATGGACCTTTAACGTCGTTTGTGAAATTTGGACGGAAGTCCCCCATTGAAGTATTTTAAAATAAATTAGGACTAAATTGAAACCAAAAATTAAAACGGGATCAAATTGAAAATTTTTAATATTATAAAGGACCAAATTAGAGTTTTAGTCCTTTGTTTTCCCATATCATGAAGGTAAAGAATGTAATGTATAAAATAAACAACCAAATCCGTCCATGCCCCGCCAAAAAAAAAATCCAAATTATTATAGGGAAATGCACACCATGCTATTATCTTTTTTACGTTAATTTCACTTTTTCTTTTTTTAATTTATACTACATGTAATTTTTATCTCTAAGTTCTTTTAAATCAATAAAATTTAAAAAATTTAAATTAAATTAATTTGATTTTTTTCTTCATTCTTTTATTGTCTAAAGTCTTCAAATTCTCATTTTCTCTCCAAATAGATGGGAGTTTATAAATTTAAGATATGAAAAAATTTTAAAAATTTATAAGTAGAAGTTTAACAAATTTAAAGCATCAACACCTATATATTAAATATGACGAGTTATCTTGTATAGGAGTAAACTTCTTAACAAAAACATTTTTTTAGGTATTTTATAAAGATTCTTTTCACTTATCGAATTCAATTTTCATTTATCATATTTATTTATATTATTTTTAGTGTCATATTTATTTATAAATTATATTTTAATATTTATCTAGAGTGTAGTACAAGATTAGAGCATAGATAGGTAGCACCCACATTATCACAGTAGTGTGGGTGGGTTACAGACAAGCAGATGAAGTTCTATGAGAGGGTTGGTAAGTCACACAATCTTTGAAGCAGTTGCAGCAACTGCCCAGTATTCAACCTTGATGGAGGACCTGGCCACGATTCGTTGTTTCTTAAAAAGCCACAAGATGGATTGCCTCCAAAGAAGATTATATAGGCTGAAGTTGAGGTTTTGTCATCGACATTTCCTCCCCAATCCGTATCGGTGTGCGTTTCTTCTTCTTCATTCTTTTTTTTTTTTTTTAAACTTTAAAGTTTTATATACGATCAGAAGGGTGCCCCGGGATGTGATACCATGGTGAATGAGAGGATGATATAGTGTTGAATGTGGTTGGGATAGTTGATGGGTAGGGCATGTGGTTGAGTCCATCCTTATGTTGTCCTTTAAGAAGAGGCATCTTTGGCTTTAGAACCTTCACCAAGAAATGATTAGAAAAAAAAATTCAACAGAGATAGGATTAGTTTTACATAAAAAAAAGAAACAGATATGAGGTTTTGAGATCTATTGGGAACATGGAGAACTTTAGGAAGATATAGTTTTTAAGAGGTTGTGTGTAAAATAGTTTTATCAATGTGGTTAATAGAAAGAGTAGATCCATCTCCAACAATGAGTTGATCGATTCCATGATAAGGGTCGGTGAGGTGAAACTGATCGAGGTCATTGCTGATGTGATGAGTGGCACCTAAGTCCACTATCCAATATGTGCCTTGTGTTTGGAGTTGCATTTTTGGCATGATGAGTAGAGGGACCAACTTGACGATTTGGTGGGGTAACCATGGAGTTTATAGCAAACCTTGGTAGTGTGCCCAATTTTTTCGCAGTATTGGCATATGACTCTCTTGGAGAGGCTTGGAGATGTGGATCATCTAAAAGAGTGAGAAGAGTTGTGACTTGAGGTAAAGCCATGATTTTTGGAAAATGTTTTTCCTTTATGAGTTGCATGTGTAGTAATGACTTAAGCGAGATCTTGGTTGGAGTCATCTCTTTTTAGATAACTTTTCAAAATTAGTAAGAAGGTCTTGGAGTTCCTCAAAACAAATGGGATTTTCCCATGTGCATAGAGCTATATTTACCTACTTGTATTCAGGTCCAAGACCATTGAGAGTGTGGATGACAAGGTCATCATCATCCAATGGAGAGGTGTAAGGGCAAGCTCATAAGATTGAGACTTAATGCCATGTAGGTAATCGAAGACAAATCTGTGTTTAGGGTTTAGGGTTTAGATACATGATGCAGGCACTAGTTTTGCTCACAAATATTTTTTTAAGGGTGTCCCATGCTTGTTTTGAAGTTTTAACATTTTGAAGCATGGTTATCACATTTTGATCCATAGAGGAAATGATGGCATGTAGAATGAATTGGTCTTATTGCATCCAGTAATGAAAATATATATGATTTGGTGTAGGGCACGTGTTTATGCCAAATCAACAAATCCTACAAGATCGTACCCAATGAGAAGAGCATTAAGTTGTACTCTCCAAATTGGGTAATTAGTACCATATAGTTTGATGGAAGACTATGTGTTAAGGTCAACCACAGATTGGGAAGCATTAAATAGAATGTTGGTAGTAGTAGAAATGGATGAGAGAGTCATGGTGTGTGATTTAGGATGGATCAATGTTGTCAAGCAAAAGCTCCTGATACCATATAGAGAAATTGATTATTACGTTTCAGATGCTTGATAATGGATCCAATGGATAATATTTATACAGAAAGTTGATCCTATGTCCGAGAAAGGTTGTTGCTAAACAACCTATCCATTGAGATAATGATAACAATAAATAACATATATGTTATATAACAACTACAACTAATGATCAAGATAAAACTAACATGATACATTTGAAATCATTTGAATTATAAATTCAAGTTGTAATTAAGATACACATCATTATTCAATAAAGTTCAAGTTTCATATCAATTATAGTTGAGTTAGATCTTCAGATTCAATCTATTGTGCTAAGGTTGTGATTCACATCATCCATGTGTTAGGTTAATATCTAATATTTTTTCACTTATTGATTATGGTATTGTTGTTTGGTCCTGTGCCAATCTTGTTAAAATCGTCTGTTACCTCGTGGGACCCTACGATTTTGCGGTTTGCAAAGGGTATTTCGTACGGGATCGAAAATGAAATAATGGCAAAGTAAGATCAGAGTAAGATCGCGGTCTTTTGCGTGATTCGTGAAATCTTCGATCTCTCACAACTTGAAAAAATAAAAATGAAATATTGGGACGGATATCTTCGATCTCAAAACAACAACCCTAACTTGATATGCATGCATTCTTCTTTTATAATTTTATTTATTTTGCTACATCGCAACACCTACACAAAAATTCTTCATATAGTGAGTTGTTAGACACTTAGACCTTTATTGTTATCGCACCGTTGTCCGTAGTGATGTCATCATGTGTCATGGCACCATCGTGATTCTATTTCTATCATCTGAAGTGCTTCGCAAAAGAAAAAGTTATTTGAGTTGCATCAAAATACAGAAGAAGAAAAAGAATAAACCTTATGTGTCGTGCGTCCCTTCTCTAACCCATCTTTTTCTTTTTCTTATCTTATTTTCTTTTTATTTTAAGTGTTTATTGTCCCATCTTTTTCTTCTTTTCTTTTCTTTTTCTTAAGTTTAACGTGTCTGTTTTCTTTCTTTCTTTTTTTTTTTTTTTTTTTTTTTTTTTTTTTTTTAAAATTTT